GACATTCGGAGAACATGTCCAAGCCACCGAAGTCGGTGTTTCAAGATGGTGACACCAATTGCATTATCGTCTCTGTGCCCGAACACACGATGCCGAACCTCTGCATTACTGACATGGTGTTGCCACTGAATGTCAGCAATCCTTCGGAGACAGCGATGATCGAACACAGAGAGTCGTCTAACGTCCTCAACTCGGAGAGGCCAGGTTTCACAAGCATAGAGCAAAACTGCTCTCACCGACGCGTTGTAGATCCGGCCTTTTACAGCCAGACTAACATCACGAAGGCGCCAAAGGTGGCCCAGATTGGCATAAGCCGCTCTGGCTTTCACTATACGTGCATTGATCTCATCACTCACACCCCCACCAGCACTTATGCAGCTACCCAGATACACGAACTTCTCAACTACTTCTATCTGCTCACCATCCAGGGTGAGTACAGGATTAGAATCCTGCCAGTCTTGTAGAAGTACTTTGCACTTCGAAGGTGCAAAGCACATACCATACCTACGGACACTGATTGCCAACTGATTAAGTGCGGATTGCATGCCTTGGGCATTATCGCACAGTAAGACAATATCGTCCGCATACTCAAGGTCGAGAAGTCTTTCTCCAGGCAACAGATCCACACCACCATTACTTACATTCATCAGAGCTGTTTCCAGAATGTCATCGATGGCAAAGTTGAAGAGGAATGGTGAGATTGGGCAACCCTGCCTAACCCCACTGCTCGAATGGAACAATGGAGAGAGGTGGTTGTATGCCCTCACTCTGCCTGAGGTGTTTTTATATAGGGCTTTTAGGATGTTAATAAACTTCTCAGGCACACCCTTCTTCAATAGACAATCCCAGAGAACAGTCCTATCCAACGAATCGAAGGCAGCCCTGATGTCAAGAAACACTACGATTGTTGGCCTTTGAAAAGTATGGCGGTGTTCTAACATTTGGCGGAGGGTGAAGATATGATCAATACATCCTCGACCAGAACGAAACCCAGCCTGCTCCTCGCGAGTCAATCTTTCTCGGGTTTTGAACAACCTACGAAGAATGACGGAAGCCAATAGCTTGGACGCAATCGGAAGTAAACTTATCCCCCGATAGTTGTTACAAGAACGACGTGAACCCTTTTTAAAGATAGGGACAACTATCGACTCATTCCATGACGTTGGTACACTCTCTAGTTCCCAAACCTTTGTAAACAACGTCGTCAATTCCTTAGTCAAAAAGTCACCACCATCTTTAAAAAGAGCCGGAGGTAAGTCATCTGGGCCAGGTGATTTGTAACGCTTCAAGAGTTGGAGTTCCTTGCGGACTTCCTCCTCATTTGGTGGATCAGTCGTCACCGGCCATGGAGGGCAGGACAGTCTGACCGATGTTGCCGGAGCAGCAGGCCAGTTGAACTGCCCTTCGAAAAATTCTGCCCATCGTCCAAGACGTCGATGGATGTTAGTGATTGGCATCCCATCATCCTCGCAGATTGTTTCACTCACACCAGACTTCTTGCTGCCAGTGGCTCGGATGAGCTGGAAGAGCTTCCGGCAGTTACCAGATGCAGCTGCTGCTTCCAGCTCATTAGCACGCATCGACCACCAGGCTTCTCGGTCCTTACGCAAGCTTTGCCCGATTTCCTTACGTAAAATCCTTCGTTTATGGTCAAACTCACGGTTACCCGGAGTAGACCGATGGGCTTCAATGAGTTGTAAGGAACCAGAAGAAACCCAGTGCTTAAAAGCGGGACGTTTCGCAAACCCACAACTGACTGTTCCCGCCATTTTCATGGCGTCATGCAATTGCAACCAATGCTCATCTATACTTTTCGGTGGAGTGGTAGCTAGCCTAGAGGCTAGCTCGGTTCGATACTTACTTGCAACAGAAGTTGCAACCAGCTTGCTAACATCAATCCGTTGATGGCGTTCACTTCGTTGTCCACTGAAAAGTAAGGCAAGATTGGCGCAGACCAAGGCATGGTCAGAGTCCAGATAGGTACTCCAAAAGGAGCGGCAGTCTTGTACACAACCACGCCAGCGGTAGCTGATCGCGATGTGATCAATCTGAGTCCAGGCTTGAGATGCAGAGGGAGGACGCCAGGTGGCACATCGGCGATGACTGTGCCGAAAGTTAGTGCTAGCCAGAAACAGGTTGTGGTCTGCGCAAAGTTGCAGTAGACGGTCCCCGTTATCTGACCTGCGACCAACGAGTCCCCATCGGCCACCTAAACGACTCTCTTCTGTGCCTAGACGCCCGACCTGAGCATTCAAGTCTCCGGCTAGTACTACAATATCTGTCGAACGCACTTTCTGGAGAAGAACTGATAACTGGTGGTAAAACTCATCCTTGATTGCATCCGGGCTGCAATCTGTCGGGGCATAGGCGGAGATGACGAAAAGACATCGTTTCTCACGCCGATTTCTTCTCACTTTGATGGAACTTTCTAATCTAACAGCACATAACCGACTGTTAATGGGGATCCAATCGACTAGTGCTGCCTCAGCTCTAGCGCTTAGTGCGACACCGACGCCGGCAAAACCAGACGAAGATGCCACAGGGTCCCCGGATAAGCGCACGTAAAACAAGCTTTTCGAAGCGACAGATGGAGATCGAATTTGTAGTACTTCGCCAGAGTCTTGAATACGGGTCTCGGATAGACAACACACGTCGATATTAAGACTTTCCAAAGACATAGCCAGCCCTATCTGTTGTCCGACCTGCATAAATGTGCGAACGTTGAAGGCAGCCAGTTTGAATGATGCACGTGGTTTCAGAAAATCTGCTTCAGTCCTCGTATTCGGTGGTAACATACAATTTTCAACCGGACAGTGACTCGAGAACGTTTAGATACAGTCGGAATTCCACCAAAGACGAGCCGCTGTATAAGTATAAAAGAAGGTGAATAATGTGGAAAATAATAACAATAATGATAATAATAACAATAATGACAATAATAGTAGTAATAATAATATTAGTATTAATAATGACAATAATTGTAGTGATCATAATTTGAATCAATTGATTGTTTTTCAAAGCGACAAAGGTAATTTCCATGGACATAGAGTTCATCATTTGTGTGTGGGCTGTGATACTGCTCGGGTGCCCAAACCGAAGCAGGTGGTTATCTTAGGGGGCCACTCCCCGAGCCTTTGACCTAAAGGTCTAACCCACAAGGCAGTGGAGCATCGTAAGGAGATGCAGTCCCATGGTAGCCGGTGACCAACGATTGGTTCATACGCCATTCGTTCCCGCAGGATACTGGAGCCCATGTGCACCATTGGTTTGGAATCCGGTTAAAGCGCCGGACATTCGCTTTTCGTCCTCTCATTTTCGTAAACAACACCCCCGCCACGAGAAGGCAATGAGTAGGACTTCCCTGGCAGAGGCTATATACGCGTGGCCGTGTGAGAGTATTTCGAGAGGGAGAGCGGACTCTCCCCACTCTCGGCCGTACCAGGGCATTCAGGGGGCAGTGCCAATAATACTGATGAGAAGTTAATGATTCATCGAGAATAAGCAGCCTGAACATTTTGATTTGTCATCTAGTGCCAATAGTTTTTCTAACTGCTGAATGTATTTCTGATTATTCAAGTATCACTCATTTAAAGTTTTTAAAAAGTACTGGCAAACTTTCCTTCATTCTTAACGGTAGTTATTTATTATCGATTCAATTAATGGAGGCATGAGAGATCGTAATGAGCTTTCCAGAAACATCCATCTCCATTTTAGAGCAGTATTTCGTTTGACACAATTAAGACAGACCCAAAGCCGACAAATAGACCTAGAATAAACCCTTCCCCCCACGAATTTTTATACTGTATCCAGTAAGACAGGAGACAATACTTCAGGTGGATGACCTACAGACATTTTATGAGGATGAACATGATAGTCATTCTATCTACTAGTACTGGTACATTCATTTATCATGTTTTGAGTGAGGGACTTGGCTTACCAAATCAAACTTCTCCATATTATTGAAGGGTTAAAAATAATAGGTTATTTGGCCAGAATCCTCGACTGACTATGAAATATGTAAAAAAGTAGGTATCGTTGTTTGTTAGAATTCCTGTATGGAGTGAAATACCCAAAATCCCAAGTCTGTAGAGATTGTTGGTCAGAAAGTCAGTCAACTGAATGACGCTGAACTTCTTGATGTTAATGGGTTCTACAGTATTGGGTATACTGATCTGTTTCATGTTGGTAGCTCTGGGCTGTATCGAAGTTTTTGCTGCGGCACTTAAGACTACTTTACTGCCAATTTGGGTTATGATCCAAGATTGATTTGTACTGACACCCTAAAAATAAGGAGCTTAATATTTTACAAAGTCAGTTTTTCCACTTACCAGGATATATACATTTAGCATACAATGCTAATAATAGTCTTAGTGAGCGTGTAAATAGTACCATCATTTCTGAAAAGTGACCGACAAGAGATGATATGGTCAAACTAGACTAATTTGCGAAATCTACGTGTTAAAGTGCGGATTATAGTCAAGAGGCGTATTATTTGATAGGTGACCGGAGTGATTCACTAAGTCTCCATCTAAAATGAAGTGTGACGTCAGCCTAATTATCAAGATAATAGAGGAAACGTCAATCACAAAACCCATATATCATGAAACTATTGCCAATTGCTTCAAGAACAGAGTATGGACTCTGGTATTTACGATAAAAGGGATCGAAGGTTTAAGATATAAAGTGAGATATCTCAGAATTGTTAGTTGAGATTGTTCTTTACAATTCTGACGTAATTTACCCCACAGATTTTCTTAGTTCGCTTATGATCTACTTGGTTTCTACTTATCTTGAATACAGATTTTGATTATTTTTTCGACATACTGTTCCCAAGTAAGATAGCTTGAATCTATGTTCAGAATTTACTTTGAAAGAGTTTATCCATAGCATCTACCATGTAGACTCAGATTTAAGCAGTGCATTTTTTTTGTTTAACAATATATAACAAGCTCATTTAGTTCCATACTGGACTGATAAAATAGACCATAAACCAACGAACTCCGAAACGCTAGAAATAATTACATTTGAGTGAATTCATATTTAAAAAGAAATTTCTTATTAAAGAAAACAAAATTACATCAGTAGTAATACATTAATATAAGGTTTGACAATGTGAATGTGTATAATCTAGCTCAACAAAAATTGGGATAGCCACGTACAGATATACAATGGCCTGTACAAATATACAGAAAATGGCAAAAAATCACATGATCTCACCACTGGGGAAAATTGAAGTGAGAAGTAGACAGCGAAATTAATACAGAATGAATTTTAAAAAAGCATTCTGGGAGGTCAAAAGTACTATTTACACATTTTTGTAATAAAGAAAAATAACAAGTAGTAGTGAGAACTCACAGATAATTCATTAATCAAATTCATATTATATATACATACATCTGAATAAGAAAAGTTTAAACTTAACACAAGTATTTCAAGAAAAGTCAGCTGAAATATAGATAAATGGACAACAATATTTAGCCCTAATTTAATTTCTGCTGGAAAACTGTTGAAGGAATGAATTCCTGTCGAACAAGATGCTGTTTACTTGGTATATTAGGATACTCTGAAACAGATGATGGGGTGTTAACAAGATTAGCTGTTTGACCAGGCCCTAATAACTGTGATAGCATTACAGACGAATAATGAGGAGAGGGTTGAACTGCCCGATTAGGACTCATACCAGCAGAATTTACAAGACCCATGGAAGGCATTGAGAGGCTGTTCGTACAACGTGGAAGTGACGCCATTTGTGGCATTACAGTATTAGCACATCGAGATATGTTAGAAGCAGGAGGTGAAATAGGAATTTGATTGGTCATAGGTTGAGGCATATTTGTTTGAGTCATGTAGCGTTGAGGAGAATTAGATGCTTGAGTTGGAGATATAGTTGTAGATGGAGGTTTACCAACTTGTTGATGACAAGGAATTGAAAACTGTTGATTAGATTGTTGATTAAAACTTGGAGTTACTGCTTGCCGAAAACGAGGTTGTTGTGTGGGCAAAGAGGACCAAGACTGTGATTGGTGTGACTGAGGATTTCCAATAATCTGCTGCTGTTGAACCTGTGAATACGGATACCTTGACTGAGGAGGTAAAGAACGCGATCCAGTAAATGACTGAGAATTTTGTGGAGTCTGACAACCAGAATATGTACTATGTAGCTGAGCTCCCATAGGGCAATGGGGAGTAGAAGTACTAGGCATACATCCGGACATTTGAGATAATTGTTGTTGTTGGTTGTGTAAATGTGATTGTTGAATATACTGCCACGCCCTCACATATTGTGGACTGGAGTTCAACCAACTTGAAAACTGTAATATAATATTAACCAAAATACAATATTTGCAAAGTGTACTATAATAGAAATAATTATATAAATGCTGATGAAAAATAACTCCAAATACGATCACTATCATCGAATATGTTTCATTCTTAGACATATTTATACAGTTATAATTAATAAAAATGTTAACTAGCATGAAAACAGTATGTGCGAAATTGTAATAGCGAAAAATAAGCTGAAATTAACAGTTGATGTTCCATTTAAAAACCTTAGATTTCATGTTCATAATTATTTCGAAACAATTATATGATCATCGCACTTGCCTAAAAATTATTAATGCTTGGTTGGTTAGTTCCCATCACAGTATCAACATTACGACTATATTATTTTATAACCAGGTCTATATAGCTAATATCATATATACAGCACAATAAATCAAAAAGATTGATTATATGTACAGATATACTTCTGTAGTCGTAGTCTTTCTAACGAGGACCTGACTTAGAATGAAATAGGAATACATGATAATCCTTTATCTGCGATTATCTCTTAAGAATCCCAATACCCAGTGATAAATAATACAGTAATAGTAAAGGACGAAAAAACCCCATCTCAAACGAATTTTAAGCATAGATAGATCGAGTATCAAATACTTGACATCTTATCTTGCTTTGGTTCCGAGGTTGATTCCATTTTACTTCTATGATTAATTGCATTGATGACTGAAAAAATCGCCCGAGATATCTGTGATTGAATATCTACGGCTCTGTATCTTTTATCCTCGAGTGTCATGGTTCACAACAGCGCAGTAGGATAAAGGAAACTACAGAGTACACTTCAGTAAATAGTTGGATTCTTTACTTACGATAAATTACATGTTAAAGATTTTTCTTGTTGACACATTAGGTGTACTTTTAAATCAATTCTAAAGTACTTTAGGGTTTGTAGATGGGAAAAACAATATCATTATTTTGATTTTATTGTTCACGGTGTTCAAAAGGTTGGATTTTGTAACCATCTCCACAAAACAGAATAACTTTTTTGTGTAATCTTCAAGTGTAAGATTAATTCTTTTTAGAATAATATCTATTCATATACTCTGTTAGTTACGAAATATTTCAAAAGTAATGATGATAAAGTATACACTTGGGAAATTCTATGATTAAAAAGATACCAGTAAGCTTTTGCATTTGTTAGACACTGACTGTTACAGAATTTCATAATGAAGAAAAGCTGGTTAGGTGATCATGTCCTTCCTAACAATTAGGGTAATAATCTAGACAATTGAACATAATAGTTACTATAGGCTTTGATAACACCACACACGAAATATGTGGCTAAAAATTAAGTAAATAAACTTGTAATTAACTAAACGAGATATGTTTTTCTATAATTTTCATTTATCCATGTGTATTAACCAAGGAAAATCTAGATAAAATAGTCTTGTAAAACTATTGTACATTTACAGATAGAAAAATAATACAGAGAATTTCTTACTAAATAAATCTTGGTGCTTAAATACATTCATTATAAATATGGATGAGTTGAATAGAGAAAACGTTATAAAAAATAATTGATTGGAATGTCAAGAAATATGTGCTAAAATTTTATTTATTCTAATCAAATAAGTGCTAATCAATATTAATTGAACTTTCCATAATAATGATAATAATAATAATAATAATAATAATAATAATAATAATAAACTTAAATTAATAAACATGAAATTCACAAACTTTTTATATACAAACTACTTATCAAAAGCCAAAATATTATATACTGTAAATAAACATAAACATTTCTAATGAGTTTGGTGTAAATTGTATTCTTGCCTATAATATGACAAACTAGTTAGAATAATTTACAATTGTAGGAATATAAGTGTAACTTAATTATTCGACAAAAGATTGTTTCACATTAATACATTGGGAAATTTAGTGTTACAAAACGATATCAATTTAGGAATAAGTATCAAAGAGTAATATTAAAAAGTGTCGAAAAAATGATTGATTTAATTGCTAGATGTAACTACAATACGAGTACTTCAAATTATTTACGACTAAGGAACTTAACGTTTCAGTATACTAAGAAAATATTGAAAATTATTATGAATAATTTCGGTTTATTACTGTTCTTATAAGATGATTCAGGTGCATAGATCCATGTACGACTAACATCTAGCAACTCTTCTAATTCATGTAGCTTAAAGTTTAAAAGCGACGACTACATACTACGTGATTGTATACAAACAAAATATCGTAGGATAGAAAATGAAGTACACTTTAAGTAGGTCGTTTCCTGTAAGACTAAGACGGCGAAATAATTCTAATAGAATCTAAATGTTTACTCTTCTATGCTTATAGTAAATGGAAGGGAATCCAAGAGAATAAGTGTAGGTTGTAATAAGATAGTCATAAAGTAAATTTGTAAACCGATCTTTCGCAAAATAGAGCTGTAAAATGCATAGGATGCGGCTAATTCACCACTGGGGATAAGACTTGATTTGGTCTAACTAATTCATGTGGATTTTTGGGATCAAAAGACTATGATAACCAAAGTTCTCATCACTTATATAAGAATTACTTGACATTTTGAATGATGTTCTGCGGAATTATTGCTAAGGAAAGTTTTGTTTTTCACTTAGACTGGATTTTGAAGGGAGATGAATATCACTTAAAGGCGGTTGTGTATAGAAAGGTTATTATGATGGGAAATTTGACAAAAATTCAGAAACAAGCTAAACAACTTCTGGTAAATATAAAGCTCAAACCTCAATCTGACACAACCACAGTTTTGGTATGGACTAAAGAATCTGTCCTACTGCAATAAACTATTACACACACGAATAAACGCAGTTTCGAGTCACTATATTCAAAAATACTAACCTAAAGCACTTAAGAGAAGTATTACTTAGAAAACCTAAGGCAAACAAAAACTGAGAACAATCCCACAGCACACTCAACTAATGAACTGCATTCCATTAAAATATTTAATCTCCTAATCAACTACGAAGGGATAAAAGAACTTACTGAGTAACAGACATAAAGGTTAAATTAACCACTGAAATATATTCGAAAATCTATCAAAATCAAAAGGAATATAAAATTGATTTACCTCAGACGCCGGAGCACCTCGCTGCCGCATTGTAGTATATGCTTGTTGAACGATCCGCACATCCTCTGGAGAGATGCTACATGGAACAACAACACCAGTGTTAGGCGAGGTTGTTGATACTATGGATTGAGAGGACGTAGATTGCATAGGTGCAGACCGAACGATTGATGTATTTGGTTGAGTAGAGCTAACAGATGACCCTGATGGATACATAGTACTGCCTGGAGGTGCAGTTCCAGGTTGCCTCCAATTAGAGTTGGAAATAGTTCCTGATGAAGTTTGATTAGGAGGTAAAAGGGTTCCAGGATTATGCCCTTCAATAACTTGAGAATAAGCTAGTGAAGGGTGGTGTGTAACCGCTTGTTGGGGTTGCTTATTGAAAATGTAATTATTATGTTCAGTTTCTCCCTGAAACCGACTTGACATTATTTGCTGGGGATACGACGGGTCAACATCCATAAGAGTCACACCTGGTTGGTGAACAAATGGTTTTGGAGATAATGCATCTATGGGAACTGAATTGCTTGTAATCAAAGGTCGATGTGCGACTGAGTGTCCAGAAGTAGATCCATGTGACTGGATGCTATGTTGAGAAACAACGTAATTGGGGGCCCAATTATTATTAAGGCTTGTTTGTGGGCGTTCCTGTATATGATGTCGCTGCATTTGTTGCTGGGTACTGAAAGATGTTGTAGGCTGGGTACAAGATAAAGAATATTTTGATTGAGACTGAAAAGCATAACCTGTCCTACTGATATCTACATGTGTGTTTATCAGCTGGTCCGATTCTAAAGTTCCAACTGGCTTATTATGAATTCCAGTTGACTGAGGGAGATTTTGAACACAAGTAGAGACTGGCATAACAGATATTGACGGGGATCGGGGAACTGACGGACTAGACACATATGCCTTTGATGAATGAGAAGTTTGTTGAGAATTCTGATAAGATGATGGACAAGGAGGGTGAAAAAACGGACTTTGCTGTGGAGATTGGATAGAAGATTGACTTCTTGAATGTGGAGAGGTAAGGTTGTAGGAAACAGTAGTAACAGCTGTAGAAGCAAATGGCGATGACTGCATAGGTACAGACATAGGGGAAGATATGCAATCAGATGTCGAAGATTGAGAACATTGTTGATAATTTTGAGATGGTGGGGGGGTTGGTTGATGATTAGGAGTCATGCTGTTACAGCGCTGCATCGTGGCCATACGTCTGCGTAACATTTGTGTTTGTTTTAGACGTTGTTGCTTTTGCTGTTGCTTCATTTTTGCCTTAAGTTTAGGACATAAAGGTACAAGACACTTCAATTCATGGCAAGTTTTGGAATGATAGCAACATAAATAATAGATGAATCGACAAACAGAACATTGATTTCGATCTGTTGAATGTACACGAAAGTGTTGTACCTGATATTTCATTGTCTTACATGCATATACACGACAATTTGCATCACGACAATAACAGCTATGACCCAAGGCTTTTACCCAACGACTCAATTTATCTCTTCCTGATTCCTGAATAGTTGAATCGTTACTTTGCTCTTGTCCTTTGTTACAATCGTCAAGTCCAATACCTATTTTCACCATAGGATGAGGATGGTTTTCGGTTTCATAGCATCGGGGACATAAGTCATATTCGATACATTGTTTACAATGCCATGGAGTTTCCAGTTGTGCACTACAAACATTGCAAGTGTACATTAGAGGTTGACGATTTTCATTATGTAATTCATATAACATCACCAAAGTGGAATATTTAGCACGTCGTAATGATGAAAATTCCAAGTGCTTTTCACGAGCTTTTTCTAAGAAAGCACCACGACATTCCATTAGCTCTGAGTTGATAAGTGGATCTGGATCCTTAATTGGTGGAAGTGCAGCGACTGAATTTTGAGGATGCAATCGAATGACAAAGAAGTTTTCCTTATGTTTCTCCATTATTTCGTAGACACGACGTGCAACTTCATTTGCAACATCACCTGAACCTATACCACCCAGGCGCTTTCGTTTACCTGTGATCGTTATAGAAGCACTACGTTTGAGCTTTCTTCGTTTGGCTTTCTTCTTTCCCGGATTTTCATCGGTTTCTTTAGTCTGCACGTTTTCTTTTGCCTCATCATCGTCATCACCACCGCGAGCCAATGCTTCTTGCTCCTGTTTTCTTTTGGCATCTTCTTCATCCATTTCCTATAGAAGAGGTTTTTAAAAAACAATATTTTCGTCACACAAACTTGTAACCTCCTAATAATATGTAGGCTAAATAGTTGACATCAGATTACTGATTATTAGGGATTTGTTACTCTTAAAATAGCAATAATTTACTATAACAAAAAGTCAATGGTGCATATTGACTATAATACCTCTTAGTTCACTAAGTAACAGAACTGAATTTGAATATGCCTAACATTAGTCGACCCTCTCAAGTTCATTACAACACAGTAATAAACAATTTTCTCTGATGTATTTAGAGACAAACTGTTATCTTTCTACCAGGGGGAATTTGTGCTTGTACTCACTTTTTGTGGTGAACAGTTAAAGAAATTTGAAAAGTTTGCATCCTAGTAGTTGAGTGAGCGGCTAGCAGTGGAATCTAGGACGCGCGTTTAGTCCTACTTGGGACTCGTTAGCTGGATGTACCTGCATCCCAGAGTTGATGTTCACTCTGGGACTCGAACCCAGTACCATTCGCTTCAAACGCTATCGCGTTATCCACTCAGCTACTGAGTCCTGATAGTCACTTGCTTGTGCAATAGGGTGAATTTGAATTCACTTGGTATTGTTTGGCTTGTATCTTCCCATTGAGGTTTAAGACTGCTAGCTACTATCCATCATTGCTTACAAATAGCTTGTGAATTAAGGTAATATCGAGGCATACGCACAGTATGCACATATGCCAATAACAGACTGATAAATTGCAGTCTTAAACCTCAATGGGAAGATACAAGCCAAACAATACCAAGTGAATTATCAGATATGGCTCAGAATAAAAACCAGTTGTGGTCCCTCTGTAGTTTTCTATTATACTTCTCATAATAGTGAGATGAGCTTTATTGAGAAGCATTTAGCAGTTGCTTTTCTAGCTGAACTGCATTTCTCACTAAATGCTATTCATGTTCAATTATTTATTGTTTGTACTACTTTTCATTCTTTATTTACTCAATATTATTACTTCCCTTACGTGAAACATTTCTGGTGCTACTTTGTATCATGATTCATTTGCTTCAAAGTAAAATGAATTTTTCAATTAGAACGTTGGATGTCATACATACTTGTTAGCAGAATAACTAGTCACTTTCGAAATTATACTCTCGTAGACCAAGTGAGAGTTTTAAAACTATTCACAACCGAAACAAATTCATCAAGAATCTTTTAGCGAGTTTCCGTGAAAAGTAAACTCGAAAAGACCTAATTCTTTAGAATTATATTCAGAAAATTTAGAAATCGCCCAGATATGTAGAAAAATATTAGTAATAATGAAAATAATTATTTATGATCTTAAAGACTATTGGATAACATAAATCGTTCTGTTACCATTGGTTTATCGCATGTAAATACGAGTTATTTTTTTAATGACAGCAACTGGAATGCGAACGAATTTAAGAATAAGGAATGAGTTTGTAGATAGCGAGCGTCCTATGTAAGGATTTGACTAGGATAGAAAAATGCCAACCAACGAGTTACTAATGTCTCAATTGTTGTGAATCTTAAGTGTCGTATTTATGTTCACATCCTCGTGTTAGCATCTTCATTTCGATTTAACTCAAGGCATTTTCATATGAAAGTCACAGATGAACCTAAAGTTAGTAAGCATTTACTATCCGTAAGCCAATTTAATTAGGGAGCGGAGGCGATTTCGAAACATAGTTGCAATAGAATTATTTAACAGACCAGGCTTCAAATAGAAATGGTAATTACTTTATGATGCATTATAGCTATATATAAACAAAGTTCGTAAGGTAAGAAACGTTTCCCAGGACATTGGTACCAACAATAGCAACCACCTCAAAACTCACAGGTAGTATTTAAATCAGGAGTTCATGAGGAAACATACCCGTAACTAAAAGCATACTGTTAAGTTTTATTACAGAAATACTACCCGTGAGTGATGCAACCTTTTCCAAACTAGACAAATCCATGTTAAAATTACTTAACATATGCAATGATATGACTGCACTGGTCAAAAGATAATACTCGCCAACGCCCAGACTCATTACTTTTTGACTAAGCAAAACGATTTGCTATTCCCTAAATCAGCTCATGAACACAATTGTAGTTACAAACCTAACTAAAGACAGATGAAAATTGTAAAGCAACGAGACTTCAGACGACATTTTTAATGGACCAACTAGAAAGTTCTAGTCATTGACTGATAGTTAAAAGCGAATTTTCACTATAACATTCTTAGTTCAAATAATGGGAACGTGTCGAAAATCAGATCTCTTAAATATTATCCACAAAATAACCTCCCGAAGATATTTTGTGCTACAAAAGTGAGAAGACGACAATTCTTGGCTGCTTCAATCTACGAAAATATAAACTCATTAAAATTATTGTTGGATAATAGCCTAATTTTTCGTAAATATTTTTGATGGGTTTTCCAACAACAAACAATATGAGGGTAAACGAGCACAAATTTACTACTCGGTCAGCGGACAAGAAAGATGCTAACAGACAAGGTAGGAATAGATAGAATGATCTAACAAAATTCTATAGTAACATAACCGAAAGTTTCGGACTTAACTACATTTATTTCAAAAGTTGGTGATTGGTGAAATAAGCACCTGATCATTTCTCGACACACGATACCAAGAAACTAACTGAGATGGTTTTATTCAACATAATACATAGTTCAGCTTTAAAAAGTTATAGACAGGTACTAGATTATGATACAAATTATAGTTGTAGTTACGAGGACAGCTATAAATCGTTTAACATTAAAGAGCATTACCTTAAATATTTCTTCCAAAGTATTTGGCCAAAAGTCACCTTCGAAATAGGCAAGTTCAGCTGGAGAGATCATATGGGACTCATTAGCATCCTGACAGATATCTTTGTAATCCACCACAATCCGTTCAATGAGTGCTTTTTTAAGCATTTTTTGATACCATTCTTGTAACCTTTTAGGTTTAGGAATTTTCTGATCAGGTGGATGCATATGAAAAATGTAATCATCACCTTCGCTAGGCGGACAAGCCCATATATGAGCCATTGTGAAACCAAGTAACTTTGCATAGTGAATGTAACCAACCAAAAGTTCATGATATATCTCTGTGCGGAATTGTTTGGGACGAAAAAAGTAAACGGAATCTAGATAAGCCACATACACCCTTCTGGTATTAGGAAGTGGGCATTCTGATCCATATTCCTGAACGTGAAGACCAAAAAAACATACTTCCTGACCGTCGATTTCTTGAAATGCGAAAATGGCTTTCACTCTGTAGGGAAAAGACTCAGGCATTTCTCCGTTATCACAGAACCGAGCCTTCATACCAGATTTAACTTCAACAGTTTTATCTGCTGCCGCGAGAACACGAATAATGACATCACCTGCATCGGCTTCTTTTTTCTTCAAAAAATCATTTACACGTTTTTCTAAAAAGTTGCTTAATTTGCATGTTGTCAATTTCTTAGCTGTGAAACGATTTTCAACACGCTTTAATCCATAGTTCACAATACAGTGATTGCAAATAAAACCGTCTGGCCAAATTTCTTCAAGGTATATGGCACAAACTCTGTGCCACTTCCTCCCACAATGTTTGCAAAATACGAATGGTTCCTTTTCTTTGATATCATTTTTGCACTTCTCCATCAAACTCTTCTGAACGTTCCTAAAAATGCACTCAAAATTTAAAGCAAATGCAACTTACACTGGGTTACTGGAGTCACTGTCAAGGGCTATTTGATCCAAAGCTTCATTGTAACATCTCTCGCATACTGTGTATTTTTGTTCCAAAAGTCCAGGAGTTTGACCACTATCACAATATTATGACAAAAACTAAGGACTTACTCGCTCTTGTAGACGTAATAAACTGCATCGCGATATATTGTACAAAACTTGGGCGTTAAGCAGGTTAAGGTAGGTGGTTGGTAATAGTATTCCCTGCCACAGCAAAATCCAAGCGACTGCATTACGGGGTCAATTATAGTTTCAAATGTCTCAGCCAACTAAAGAAATGTGTAATCGTAAAAATATATGAAATTACCCTTGTACAGGTCTTGTAGACCTTGGATGTCTTCTTATTGTAAAGCCAGGCATTGTTAAGCATCAACCAAAAGTCATCGACTATTTCCCAAGGATCCTTATATTCTCGGTCTTCTAGTTTTCTCCGTATAGTTGACAGATCCATAGGATCAGAAACTATTTGAGGATAATCATATATTTCAAGGAACTTCCAGTCCACTGGAGTCAAAAATGGTTCTGCATCCTTTTCTTTGCTTATTTTTAGCACAACTGGTAGAAAATGCTGCAACAGTTCATTAGAGTACCATATTCTTCGTCTGATAGGTTCTCGAGAAGCCTGGGTGTCCTCTTTTTTTTCATCAGAACTGGTGGGCTCAGGTGCATCCGACTCCAGACCAGTTTTTTCATCAATCTTTGTCTTTATTTCGCTTTCACTAGGTTCTACGGACGCGACAGAACGATATTTAACTTCTGGTGAATTTGAATCCTCTTTATTATCCTTGTCTTCCAAAACTCCTGCAGAGTCAGAGGAATTCGAAGAGCTTTCTGTTGTAACTTCAACTTTAATTTCCCGTTGAATCTGTTCTTCACGCTTGGATACGATTTCTAAAGCATCCGAAAACTGATCCTGATCATAAGAATTAGCTTTCAATGAGTTATTTTCTGATGAAACAGAATTCGACAGGTCTGAAGGTTGTGTCACATCAGAAATATCTCCATTTTGTAGTGGTGGACAGGATTCCCTCAGACGACGCTTTTCCTTTAATTCAGAATGTATATTGTGATAATGGAGTGCCATTGTTTTGAAATATTCTTCTGTTGACCTAGATTTTACATAAACGTCTTTTTCCATTCGTTTCACATAATCGAGAAATTGTTTCATCCTGGGATCATTGTATGCAGTAGGATTTGCCGTTGGAAAGATTGATAGAGAAATATCATTCACACTATAAAAAATAACTTTATGAAGAACTAGAACTTACAATTTTTTCATAGCTAGTTCTCGCTGTTGATCGGTGATGCGGCTTTCATGTAAAGGTACCCGGTTGAACTCACCATTCAACACAACCGTTGGTTGTGATTCACACGAACCAGTTGTAAAAGCAGTCTCTTGGTGTGGAAGCGGAGAGTCTGATATTTTGATGCCATTTAAGGATGATATGTCAGATTTGTGGTTTGAAGTGAGTCCATTTTGTGGGCAACTAACGGATGATACTGATGATGGTGTAGAGTTCCCAATGGGTTTCCTGATTGCCGAACAAACTTTGCATTCCATATCTCCACAAGAACGATAGTGTCGCATTATGTACTTAGATGAAATACAATGTGGAACATTGCACTCCTTTTCTCGAGTGCAACTCTGTAAATGAGGCAGCAAGTTTCGAATTTCACCACAATTTCGATCCGCACAGTTTGTTGCCATCCCCCTCCTTTCAAGGCGTTCACAATGATCAGCATGTAGAAGTAGTGCTAACTGCTGCTGCATGAGAATCATCTTGGCCTCCGTAGATAAACCTTGGGGACGGTCATTTGTATAGGTGATTTGATCCGTGGTCGAACCTTGCATATTTACACCAGCTACAGTACATGTGATGTGGACAATATCGAAAAGTGTGAAGAGTAAAATTTACAGCAACTTAATAATCATACAAACGTATAATCGAGTCTAAGTAATAAATGACTAGCAAAAGTAATATACTAAGTGGTCACAAAGAATTAAGCAGTGATCGAACTTATTTACAAAATAATAACCAAAATAGACCGATGTGTTAACTTTTAACGAGTCGTAACTAAACCATATTAGTATCTAGAAATAGAGTTCTAGATACGCCTTACACCTGGCACGTGTAAAGTGATTATGTTATCCCCAAGAAACCCGACTGACTATTGAATGGGAATATTGCAAAGTTCACTATCCTACCTTGGGGGGTGTGAAATATAACCATCGAAAATGGGATACTTGTTGAGCTTATGATTAACCGTTGCTGCTACCTTGACGTGATGGTTGAGCCTGTCTATCGTAATGAACCAATCGAGCTATACAAACTGGACTAATCGTTTTTCAAGGTCCTACCATGATACACAGGTCGGTTGAAAAACGGTAAGACTAAAAGCAGTAAACCCAAGATTTGGGGGAGAAGTCGTACTGCTTACTGTATAGAGATGTGACGGTAGTAAGGTGTTCCCTTCAGACGACCAGCATAACAGCGATGCTACCTTCCCATAAGGAAGGGTGGGGTTAGAAAAGGTCGGCCCTAAATATGCACACCTCACCTTATTCCACGTATTTTTGGCTCCGGCGGTAAGGTCTCAACAAGTACGGAACTAACATGAAAACTACTCGCCAAAAGTTCGTGTGTGACCGACCTCAAGCAGTTGTCCCTTGGATACTGCGGTCACGCTCTTAGGTCACTAAGACCACTTCTAACCCAATTTCCTTTTCAGGTACCTCTAGAAGAACCCTCCCACGGTATGGGCAACCAGGAAGTGAAAACTGCCCTCATACCTCTAACAGCACATAAGACTGACTGACTAACTTTTTCAGCTGATTTTCTTCCTGAGGACACGCTGGTTGGTTAACAATACACAGATGACATTGTCCTGTTTCAGAAAAGCTGATAAAGTGAAGAGTCTTCTAAGCCCCCCGGGCAAAAACGCAAGGATGCTTTGGACGCATTTCCCTATCCAAAAACTGGTTCAGTCATTGCTTACGGTGATAAAAGGGAATCTAACAGCCAAGAGCACAAACCGCTTAAATTACCGGGAAAGTCTCATCAACTCTGCTGATGAAACCTCGGGTCGATTTAAAAACTTCACTTGGTCTTAGCCAATTTGTACCACCTATGACATAAACAGGAAGTCTGACTGCTAGGGATGATCTTTTATTGTTTTATTTTGTGGTCTAAAAGTATGGACATTAAAAGTAGAGGACAATCGTAGATTACCAGTATTTGGTCAAAGATTTTTCTGGAGCATTACTTGCACATCAGTCAATCGTAATAAATACAGGGCCTGGCATAAGTGCGTGCCAGACCAGTTTCACATAAAACACGGAAGGTGGAATTAACAAGACGATAACGAAAAAATCAAGGCAGAGGTAGTATCAGTGATGGTGAGGAAGATTATACATTGAGCGGTGGGTTATTTGAACAAACAGACGCAACTCTTAACATGTCTAAATATGAAGATACTTCCATTCCTTTTGCTCCTAACATTAATAGTACCATACTATCTTCCGTAACATGTCTTCTGAAACGAATATCGTTTTGATAGGTAATAGCGATTTGTATGAGTCACCAAACAGATCTGAGAAAGAAAAAACTTTAGCGTCGCTAAAAGGTCGTCCATAAACTAGTCTCACCGAAACTTTACATACCTCGTGCAGGAAATGACTTCCACTAAGAAGGATCGTGTGTTTCAAAAAAGTGAGTCTTGTTAACACGTAAAGTGCTCTGATATAGCAATTTGGAAAGGTAATCCATAAAAATTAAATCTAACATATATACTACCTTCAAAGTGACAACGCGTTTTAACTTAATTCTCAGATTTCAAACTTCATCAACTTAGTGTACATTAAAAGCTACGTCATAAAAGCATCCTATATGATGGACTGCTTGTTGTAATGTTTTGTGTCCTTGTAAGGGTAAGCAACAGAAGGGAAATCCCCAAGAACCATAAGAAGTAGGTCATCTGCGCTTCAGTACTAAGTCTTTTCTCTGAGTGGTTAGTCTATGGATTAGCATTCAGAAATAATTGGTATCATTCACTTGGTAGGATGATACCTGATAACTGTATGGCTTAAAGCAAACCAACAGGCCATCTACCCAAGCAAACATGAACTAGATGGGACATTTAATGAGTTTTCACTAATGTCTTAGTTAAAAGGACTGCTGAAGATGAGTTGGCTTCTTATTTCTGCAAGCCATACAGTATTGATAATGAAGTTTGTCAAGTTGACCCTTCAAGTGTAATATTCAATGGGCGACCAGTTCAGTACCGACTCCAGTGACGTTCACTGGTTCTAAATGAGTTGTTTTGAGCTAAATATAATTTTACGTCGTTCACTAGCCACTATTAGGAATGAAAAACAATCTAAATGATATGTAATTATAGTTAGAGAGACCAATCATATGTCGGAATCGGTTTATATGACACCCATGCAATGGTGACCCATGCAATTTTTTTATACTAATGACTGACAAACACCTGTTACCAATAAAAAAGACCCTTGTAAATTGTGATTACACATTTTAAAAATGTACAGACATTTAGAAGACAAAACGGAAACAGATTTAACCTACTACTGTTATGTAGAAATAAGACTTACACATTTTAAAATCATGGATTTATTCCGAAGGAAGAAAAGTAGAAAAGTCATTAAGTAGGAAATTAGTTAAAACGCAAAATATGGCGGTCATTTTTACACACCCCGCTATCTTGTGGAACGTTCAAACAAAACATTTCATTGGGAAAATGATGCTTTTACGCCAGTCATTTTATCCTCTTGTGAAAAGTTCTGAATTCTGTCTATTCGAAGCAAGAGAGCTTTACGACTCTTGGGTACATATTTTATATGAGTTTGGCTCTCGTTTGGACAATTACATTTTTATGTCGGAAATTTCTCGTTCGCTCGTTAACTTGCTGAAACTAGGATTCCATTTGAATAGTTGATACGAGTTTTGGAGAAACGAACGTTTTTCCTGTGTTTCATAAAGAAACGTGATATGAATGGTGATTTACCTAAATTCAATTGGATATTGAAATTGACAGCTTTCGCACACTTCCTTCACATTCAGCCAATCTGAAAACCGATGAAAGGTTAAGATATCATCTTTCATAGTTAGTAATGACGAATAGTATATCATCAGTGTCTGAGTTATTACGCATCCCCAAGCAATTTCGAATAATTTTATTCTTACAGTCATTCAGTTGCACCAATGAAGCCACGTTACAAATTACTTGACAGCTAAGTTTAATGTGAGGTGCCCTTAGACCGCGTAATGAGCACATAAGAATTGCCCAGTTATTATCCTCATCCGAACAGTGGAGTTGACAGGAATTCTGTAGTCGTTGGGTCTACTTTGCTTACAAGTACTTTTTTCAAGCAAATCCCTCAATTCTGTCAAGTTAGTATAGACCCATTCATTATCAAAAGTTGGTCTTCAATACCTTACACTTACCAAGATACAAATGAGCGTAACTGAAACAAGAGAAAGGAGTAAACATAGTATATCTAAAAGGAAATTAGAACGAAAACTGATTAGTAATTTTAAGAGTAACAAAACAAATTATTGTGAGGAATAATCATAAATCTAGGCTTGTGGTTTTCGTGCACTGAGGACATTCTGCACCGACTCCAGGCTGAGTCAGAACAACTGGCTTCTTAGGTAGAATATTATTAGTCATTTTAGTCATTCTCAGAACTAATATTAACCACCAAAAATACATATTTTTGACTCAATCTACTGACTCTTTACCCTTGTCTTGTTTACCATACTCCAACAGCTAGTGTCTCCTTGTTCTTTAACATGGTTGGATGGTGTTTAGTTTATCACATAATGGAGTAAAGATAAGTATGATGAGAGATCGACTTTAAATGATAACTAGAAGTATTCGATCTAACGTGCTAAGAATTCCCGAAATAGTGCAGTTTGAGACAGGTAGAACTTGATGAGCGTCTGGCAGCTGGTCCTTGTAGTTTAAGGATGGAAGCACTAGCATGCTGTTCATTCTGACGAACCACCACGTGAATGCTTGCACTCTGTCGACATTCCAAGTCAGTGCACTTTACATAAATTAGCAATAGTAACTTGGGAGTTTCACGTGAAAGTGAAAATGGCCCACCTGGAAATCCAAAACTACTCACCAGACCGTGTACATTCTTGCCTGAAAAGGTGTAAAAATGAGCCTCAACTTTATCACCTTTAACATAATTTCTGGTCATGTACTGAGATTGAGTAGCTGTGTATAGTGCTAAAACATTTTGACATTGTGATATAGATTTAATTGTCTAATAGCTGCTCTCATCCCGACTCTGATTGTGATGACTGCATCAGTACTTTAAACAGAGCACACAGTTCACACGCGTGAATGCACTTATTGTATTGTTTACTGAAAACTGTCATTATTTTATGAAGAAATAACGTCCCGTGTAATCAAAGTAATCCAGCTGCGTTCATGTCCACTTAACCCCACGCGTCTCCTGCAATATGGAGTCTATTAACATCTATTTAATAGTCAGAAGGAGGAATGTCGAGAGTAGGCACATCAGACTGACATAAGTCTTCATTTGCAATGCATCTGTTTACTTTTACGTATGTATGAATCTGCAAATTGATCCCTCGTAGGTGTTCTGTATGGTAGTGCCGCTCTTTCTGGGTGTTCCATAGTGTCATAGACTCTACAATCCACTATGTGAAATACTTCCTCACAATCAAAGAAATAAATATATGACAGGTTCACTTCTACTGACTGCTAAATAATTTTACGTAGTGTACGAATACTCTTGGTTCGCGATTGCTCCTTAAAAAATCCTGTGTTGAACTTTCCGAGATAAATAATCCGGCAACACTGTTTAAAACTTTATCTAGTATCCACAGTAGTGGGGTCCTTCTGTAGTTCTCGTACTTACGAAGATCTCTATACTTTGATGTCGTAACTAAACGTTCCATTTTCGATTCTGTTGTTACTTGTTCTTCCACCCCAATCTTCCCGCAGAAAACATGAAACATCTGTACGGTTATCTCTATGTCTGATTGCAGTGCATTGGCTGGTGTGCTCCTTGATCTTATTGCTTTGCTGTTTTTAATTTACCTGATGAACTTGACCGTTGGTGTGATAATAACCGAAGTATGCTCTGTGTGCGCTACTTTGGCGTCCAGTGGGTTTAGAGGGACTGGCCTATTAGAGAGCTCTTCAAAGTTTTCACTACACCTCCTCTGCTATTGAATCTCAGTGACTAGTTCCTCTTATTTCTAAATAGTCGTTCTAGTTTATTGTATTTCTCTGCTTGCCTGTACGTTCTATCATTTCGATTTCCCCATTTCCTCCTAGCAGCTTCTTTCGCTGATGTTTCTAGGCCTCCGGCATATGTCCGCTTACGAAAATTATCGAGAACTTTTACTCACTTGTTGGTCTCGGTATATCCAGTCTGTCCCTCAGTTTAGTGTGCTCTTGTTTGGTTACTGTTGGATTTTTTTTCTGGTTATCACTTCCTTAAGTCTTTCCCAAGGTATCTGCAAAGATGTATATTCTATTCTGGCGCGAGTGCTGTGGTATTTAGGCTGGGTGCATTTGTTTTGAATCTTTGATTTTTAAGCGATACCAACACGCACTTCAAAAGAGCCTGAGCTATTAGAATTGCTTCACAAGCGAACAACACATTTTTTAATGATATGAAATTTTACTGGTTGCTATCTATAAGAATGGCCGTTTCTCATATGGTTTTGATTGTTTTCTCTCTTTTGGCGTGAACTCTGACCAACCCAGAGATCACAACTTTCGACTACAAATATTCTTCTTAATCTTATTCTGGTGCTTCTTGACACCAGTATTTTCTGTCATGTCGAAGAAATGATCATTTAATCCCTTTCTAGTTGTTCTTCATAGTGATTGCCTTATGGGTAAGTAGGTCTTGTAAAGCCCGGAGCATCTTGCTGAGAGCAATCTTGTGGAGATAGGAATGACAAACTTATTTTGTAAACAGTTTTTGATATTATTTGCATTTATTTTGTTAAATTTTCACAGTCTGTACATTTACCACAAAATGACTGTATATGTTGTTTAAGTGTATGACCTTGAGCAACATGCACGATGTATTGAGTTTTTCAGTATTTCGGAGGAAGGCTATATTAAAATGTTGTAGTGGTCTCTGTCTATGTGTGCGAAGCTTCTTTATTTCTATATTTATCCAACCACCAGGTTCTGGTCTGCAGTTATATAAATTGCTTTCTTTGTTCTTGAGTATTCGACAAACCTTTTGAACGTTTTACTGATGAATATGTGATTGATCTGATTTTCTTTAGTGTGATCCGGTGAAACACAAGAGCCATCAAATGGACAATTATTTGCAATTTTCATAAAGTTCCTGTGCCTGTATATAACCGTGGTTTAATCTATAGAATAAAATAACTAGTGTTCGGATAGTTCGAATTGTGAAACAAAACTATTTAAGTCCAAGGTTATCTTTTCAAACACAAAGTTTTCAATAGAATAGAATCATGAGAAATGTAATGCCTGTACAAAATAAGGACTTAAGTAAACATTTGACCCATAATGTTTTGACATTATCCAGTCAACTTTAGCTGCTAAAACTCACAATGTACGTTACTCCCGGACGGGGTCTGCAGCTTTCTTTCCTAGGATTCACACAGAATAGGACGGATTATTTTTTCTTGGAATTACGAGCGAAAACTTTCAAAGACATCTAAGTATACGTGGTATATTTTTTAGAGTATGATCTGATCTCAGTCATATGCATATTTGATCGTATGCATATTATTATATATCCATTTTGACTATCTGACAGAACCACAAACTATCACTTTCAAAAATATAATCATATATAGTGAGGATTTCTGTTTCAAACTTAGCACACTGTTCGTTACATTGTGTTGAGATGCTATGGCCCAAATGCTTTCTGGAGTTACTGGCTCAATTTAAACCTTGATCAAACACTCAAAACCATACAACCATATGTGACGAGGCATTATAATACATTCTATACTATACTTCAAATTGTAATCGGATTTTATAGCTTACTTTTTGGAATAACCTGTTACATTCGACGAGTTTGCCATAGTTTTTGGTCTGTGTTTTTACCTACAAAACCGTTTCATATATTTTGGTTATAAAGTATCGTATTAGTTCTTGATGGCATTGGTCCTCTTTAAAACGACAGGTTGTCACACTCCCCAATTTTAAATAATACCGGCTTTCAGTTTATATATATACCATATACACTACTCCTTTCGATCGTCTGATAATGGATATCGATAGTTCCAGAATGCTATAATGTATAAGGCACATATTTCCTCATAATTCCTAGGTTGAAATTTATCCAATATGCACATATTTGCTCTTTTACATCTAAACATATACTTACATGCTACATTTCTACTACGATCTCCCTGTTATTTCCTACTGTGCATTTGTCATTTTCAATAATCCTGACGATACTTCCACACTTGTTTCAAACACAGATTTTGATTTCCGAACAACCCTGAGCTCTTCACCATGGTTCTTGCACCCCTGTTTCTATTTAAACACTTCAGTCTATGTGATACTAATCACTTTACAGTCATGTCTCAGAGAAATTCAAAAGCCCAAACCTTTAGGGGTCCAGACAAATGTAGGAAAACGACGTAATCCAACATGACTACTGACACGATTTCAAGGAATTTTGATGAGTTATGTTACTCGACTCATCCACAAACGAACAAG